CCCCGGGGGGCGGGGCCCGGCTGGCGGCGCCGGGCAGGCCCCCCCGGGCTTCGGCTGCGAGCCTGAAGGCTTCTCCCAGCGGGCAGGAGGCGGGATCCGCAGGTCCCGCCCCCGCCCCCGGGAGGACGTGCCAAGGCATCCAGGAACGTGACCGTGACCCCAGTGCCTGGGTGAGGACTGACGTTGGCTGAGAGACAAACACATTCCTGTCGTGGACGCGCAGCTGCACACATTTTCTCATAACTCGGGAGCAAAAGGCAGAGAGAGATTCCCTTCGGCCTTGAACCATGCAATCACCCGGACACAATTGCAACTAGACCCACAAGCTTCACTGTATACAAACACAACCTCCACACACACATATACAGAATCACAGTTACCTTTAGGCACTAAACAAGTACACAGATGCGAAACCAACAACCACAGGCTGACACACATCCTTCAACATAAGTCTAGACACACACATATATGGGCAAGCATCAGCGCATAGGCCCATAAACTAACATATAAGCAAACATAGATACTCCATTGCCCTGGGGCACACACCTCTCACAACTCAGAGACAACAGCAACAAGAATACACCAGGAAGGACAGACAGGCAGACCTGAGCATACTGAAGGACCCAAAGGAATGTGTAAACCAACTTTGCCAAAATACATCGTAGGTGGGCTTAATGTTGATTATACACAGACTAAAGGTACTCAATCACATCTGGAGACAATGCATGTTGAGAATTATTGGAATTACGTGGGTGGACAGGAGGTGGGCAAATAGACTGGAAACTAGTCCCAGTTTTGCCACTTCCATGCTGTGAGGTTGGGTGAATCATTCCTCTTCTGTGGCCTTGATTTCCTCACCTGTAAGATAAGTGGATGATTTCTAAGGTTCCACCCAACTTTGACATGTATAGGATGGGGAAGAGGAAGGGACTGCTGGCTTTAGGAAATCTAAGTCTAGCAGGCTTCCTGGAGATGGAGATTTCTGATCCATCCCAAAGGTCTGTGATCTGCAGTAGAAGGGCAGTAACTGTTTATCAGGCTTTGAGAATTGGGGGGAAAGGAGTGACCAGTCCTATTTAGCAGCCATCAAGGAGTTTCAAACATCTTGTCATGGAGACACAGGCCGTAGTACTGGATCCAAGTAGGGGAGAGACTTACAGGCTGAAGTCTCCTATGAGGCCCTCCCACAGTGGGTCTCTTGTTTTTCTTCTGGGCCCTACTCAGCTTTCCCTAAAGCCTGTGCTGTTGACCTGACACCCACTCAGAGGATGGACAGTCCTCTTCTAGTGATAGAATTGGCAACCAGAGATTCAGAGCCCAGTGCAATAAGGGTAAGAGTCAAGGCTTGGACAGAGAGTCATCCAGTGTCTTCCCCTCCCCGCCCTGCAGCTCCCTCCTGCATAGAGTCCTAGGGGTCAATGACCTCTGCCTATTCTGCTTTCTTTTCAGAATAGAGAACTAGAATTGCTGCCCTAGGGTATTGTCTCTCATGCACACGTGCACACACACACGCACACACAACTACAAAGTGTACTGCCTAGATTTGAGAGTTAGAAGTACTGTACTTAGGCCAGGCGCGGTGGCTCAAGCCTGTAATCCCAGCACTTTGGGAGGCCAAGGTGAGAGGATTGCCTGAGCCCAGGGATTTGAGACCAGCCTGGGCAGCTTGGTGAGACTTCATCTCTACAATAAATCAAGAAAAAAATTAGCCGGGCATGGTGGCGCAAACCTGTAGTTCTAGCTACCTGGAAGGCTGAGGCAGAAGGATCACCTGAGTCCAGCAGGTCGAGGCTGCAGTGGCCATGAGCATGCTATTTCACTCCAGCTTGGGCAACAGACTGAGACTCACACTAAAAAAAAAAAAAAAGAAAGAGAAGAAAAGAAATATTGTATTTAGTCCTTCCTTCTCCACGGCATACTACTGTAGCTATGTAATTAGGCAAATCACTCCATCTTTGGGGGCCTCAGTTTCTTCATCAATAAAATGGAGGAATTGGACTAGAAGACAGATGCAAACATTCCAGTTTTCCAGCCAAACCCTCTAACATCACCTAAGGGATAGTTCTCAGATAGAAGGTAGACAGGCCAGGGCATGTTTCATTTCCCTTGACTTTAGTTTGCCTGTCTATAAAAATGAGAAGTTGTACTGCATCAGTGGTTGTCAAGTGGTGCCTACCAAAATTACTTGGGAAGCTTTTTAAAAGCTTGGGTGCCTTTGTCCCACCCTAGAATTTGGGAACTCGGGGGAAAGGGTGACCAGTCCTAATTAGCAGCCATCAATTAGACCTACTAATTCAGTGGCACAGATTTTTGTAAGTTTGCACACATAAATACCCAGATCTACAAAAACATGAGACCTAAAACTGTCATCCACAGGATTCAAGTCAGTGCTTGATTACCCAACAGGCAAACTAAGCATATGCAGATGTTACCCACAGAGCAGAAGCCTCTGTCTTCCATGTTGGTTACTCTCCATTTGTCCTCCCACACCAAGATCCATTCTTGGCCGCTTCTCCAGCCTGAGCTCTGTGGAGCCTGAGCTCTATGGACAGTATCACCGGAGCTCATCAGGGCTGTGGCTTCTGGTTGAATTCAACTACCGAGGTCCAGAAGCAGATCTGAGAGTGGAAGGAGAGCACAGGTGAGGCCACTGGAGCAGGCTGAGATTCTGGCTGTGACTGCACTCCGCCAGGGGTACAGCTCCCGGCTCCTTCAGGCCTGGGTGGCAACAGCTTCCCGCTGTTGCTAATCTTTAGGGGCCTCTTCACCTATGACTGACTTCTCTAGCCCTGCCCACATCTCTGCAAATTGTATTTAAATTCTCTCCAGGCAGGGCTCGGTAGCCGGCCTGTCATCTCAGCACTTTGAGAGTCCGTAGCCGGCCTGTCATCTCAGCACTTTGAGAGTCCGAGGCGAATGGATTGCCTGAGCCCGCGGGTTCAAGTCTGGGCAACTTGGTGAGACCTCATCTCTACAGTAAAAAAAAAAAAGCCAAGCGTGGTAGCACACATCTGTAGTTCTGGCTACTTGGAAGGCTGAGTCGGAAGGATCACTAGAGCAGGTTGATGCTGGGGTGGCCATGAGTGTGCCACTGCACTCCAGCTTGGGCGAGAGTGAGACTCCAACTCAAAAACAGCAAAAAAAATTGTTTCCAAAGTGTGCCAGCACCTTGGCTGATACAGGCACCCACAAAACAGAGGAGCCAGCATCTTCCCAAAAAGAGAGAGTGTATTGTGACTTCACTTATCATATGGGTGAGATTTATTGTTTGTTTCAAATATACATTTTTATTTACTATTCAGTGTTTTATTTTGAATTGCATATTGCAGGGGGCAGAGAGTGGAATAGGGCTGCCTGAACATTGGCATTTCTTCCTTTCTATAGGAAATTATAGGAACCAGCATTCTTTCCTCTGCCACCTGTGAACGTGGCCCTTTTCAAACAGCTTTGTAATGTTGACTGTACTTGTTTGTGTCTTCTATAAAAATGCGAACCCATCGTTCTGCACTCTTGGATGGGAAGAAAACAAATGTGAGCCCATTCATTCATCCAACAAATATTTGCTGTGCACCTAATATGTGCTAGCTAGTCACTGTGTTAGGTGCTGGTGCTTAAAATCTGCAGTAAAATGTAGTCTCTGTCCTCATGGAGCTCACAGTTCACTTCAAGCAGGCAAGTGAACAATTATGCAGTGTGGCAACTGAAAAACTGAGGTAAACAAGTGTGTCGCGGATGACATCAAAATAATGAATTGCACCTGGAGCAGTTGAGGAAGCTGGGGCTAAATCTAGAAGGATGAGTTGGCCTTCATTGAGCAGATGCCGATAGGCTTGACATTCTAGGTGGAAGGAATTGAGTATGTACATAAAAGCACAAGAGATGCACTGAATTCAGGGAAATGCCTGCAGTGCCAGGATGAGCTGGGGGGCAGAAGAGGTAACACTGGAGAATTAAGCAGGAGCCAGCTCAGGAATGGTCTTGAATGTTTTGCTAAGGAGTTTGGACTTGACCCATTAGATGCCAGTAACTCAATTGTTCCTCAGCCTCTCTGATTGTTCCTGGCTCTCACATACCAGAGACTTTGGCAGTGCATTGAAATGTGACAGATCAGTCATCAACCTGGGTTTACCTTGCTTCCTCCTGTGGTACCTCTCACCCAGTGTTCTCCTTTATTTCTGATCCCTGCTGTTCTGCCACAGATTACTTTTTCCTCTGTTAATTTGCCCCACTTACAATTGTAATCCAGCCCTAAACTGGTTACCTCATTCCCGACCTACTGCTGGATCTCAGCCATCTCTATGTCTGTTCCAGACTCCCAGAGCACTTTTCACCAACTCTCAGAGTCATTGCTCCTACTCCATCCCATTCCCACCCCACTTGTAGATCTGGGGGAGGAAATCAGAAATGTTAAGGAGGGAATGGCATGGCCAGATGTTCTGATAGCAGTGTGGGGGAGTGAGAAGTGAGTCGATGACTGTTAGAAGTGTTAGAATGTGTGTCAGCCAAGTGGAGGTGTTTGGGAGGAGCCAGATATAAAACTAGAACTGCGGCCTGAAAGTGAGGATTTGGAAGTCATGGCCATATTGAAAGGATATGATTAACCAGGGAGGAGTCTTGAGGAAATAGAGGACCAGACCAAGCATTTGGGCACAAACATTCAAAGGAGTGACAGAAAAAGGAGAACAAGGAAAAAGACAAACACAGAGATAAGCAGATATGCTAAAAATACAACTGACACACCCAGATATACCCAGATCCAAGAACACTCACAGGGAAAGAGACAGACACACCCAGAGAAGTAAGCACTCACACAGATGATCAGTGATTTTGTGGTTTTGTTCCCTCCTTTTTTTTTTTTTTTTTAGTGAGAAAGCAGTATGTATTGAGGGGACAGAAAAGCTCCCACAGTGGGAGGGGACCCAAAGAGGTTGCTCTTGTTCCCTCCTTCTAGAACAGATGGTTCTCCTTCTCCAACTGCGTGGGCAAGAAGCTTTAAAGATGGATGACCACGACCCATGTCCATTACTGTCTGTATGCCCCATGGTCCATAGTCTGTGTAAGGCTTCACACCTTCGACCCCAGTCCGAGCATTCCTGCAGGTCCCTCCTGCCCTTTCTGCTTCCTGGAATCAGCCTAGGAAGACTGAATCCTAGTACCACCCATCTCCTAAAGACATTCACCCCAGAGGGCATCAGTCCTGCTTCGGTCAGGTAGGTGAGCCCTGGAGTACCCC